ATACATATATATATATATATACATATATATACATATATATATATATATATATACATATATATATACATATATACATATATATATATATATATATATATATATGGCCGGTTCCCGTGAGAATGCACCTTGTGGAGAGAAATGAGAATAAAATCTAGCCGTCGGATCTGATGCATCGTGCGGCTCAGATTGCATCATGCGCTCAGATTTTGAGATAGTGCATTTTCGAAGGTTTATGATGCATTTCAACGTGATGCATTTTCGCACCATTTTGGTGCATCTAATTTTGATGAAATCTTGACCCTTAGATTTCACAATCTAAAGCACCAGATTCATTCTCATTTCTCTCCTAAGATTGTATTCTCACCAGAACCAATATATATATATATATATATATATATATATATATATAAAATATCAAAATGTATTGTGAAATGTCCATATACAATGCCACAATCATAGTGCAAATTCTTTTTTTGAGAAAAAAATATGGAGCTTTTATTTTGACTTTTTTCTATGGCTTACTCATATTTTGAGTGTCTTCTTTAAAAATGATTATTTATAGAATGGGGAAACTCTCTAGATAGGAGTAAAAATTTATGAAAATACTAAAATAAAAGCATATATTTTTAAAACTAAAATAGAAGTTCGCACTGTGTTACACTCTCACACTCATCACATTATCACATTGTAATTGTCACACTACCACCGCCACATTGCTATCCGTCACTATCAGCCATCAGAGTGCTGTTGTGAATCGTCGATGTTGACTTATCCCACTTATATTTTACATTGTCATTACTTTTTCATCATACTTCCAACGCATACTATTACATTACACTGTTATTATATTTCTATTTTGATCTTAAAAAACTTAGGATTTCTATTTTGGTATTTTCATACATTTTTACTCCTATCTAAGAAAATTTCTTTTATAGAATTCACACAAATTTTCTTAACACGAATCTTATTTTGGGACAAATAGAATATTGTGAAATGAGGTTCTGTTTTAGAAATAATAATTTATTTTCACGAAAATAAAATATAATTTTATGTAGACATAAAACCGTGTTTGCTAATTAAGAAATTACCATGACTAATTAATATTTCATTCATTCTCAAATAAGGTTAATGTTTACTATTCATATGGTCAAATTAACTCTATTTTTAAAATAAAATTTCGTTGATCATTTTAAAAAAAAGTTGTGTAACTACTTGTTTTGTAAAATTTTGGTGTACGTTTTTTATATATCTTTTTTTAAATTATTGACAAATTTTCGTCTATATTTTTTGAAAATAAGTATGTGCAGACATTGTAAACCAAAATAAGAGCTTTATTTCAAATCTGAGAGTGTAAATAAATACTCTGTAATGTTAATTAAATATTTTATTTACATAGTATTCTCCGAAATAATGTAAACAATCAGAAACGTTAATTTCGAATTTATCAAATAATATTTATAGTTTTATTAACGAAGTATATATTCTTAACCTATAAATTTTAAAATTATTTTTATATACTTAATAAGTTTTTATTTCAAAAATAATCTAACTTGTGAAAATAACCAATTCAAAAGAAATATATTATAAGAAATTAGAATAAACTTTTGAATTATTTTAACGGTGGGGTTCTAATGACACCAGAAAACAGTGCACCGAAAGTGCTCCAAAAACACAGTGACACCGGAGTGACATTGTTCTCCAGTGTCACTAGAACCGGACCGTGTTCTAAACAATTTTGAGAATTAGTTTGAAAAAGAACATGATTACTTCTCTAAAGATAAATACCACTACCACCTCTTTGGAAAGAACAGGAATGAATATACTCTTTAAGGCCAATGATATCTGCGCTCCAAAGTTTGCTTGTGGCGCTCCACATTTTTTATTTTTACACCAATGGGACAATATTGCCCTTTAATAGTTATGTTAGCTCTTGAGCTCTTTTTGTCATGCGAGTGGTTCTGGCTTCTTATTATTAATTAATTCATCAATATACTACCTCTCTCCATTACTATTTATCCCGTTTTGATTTATTTCAACCAAAATTAATAAAATTTGACCATTGATTCTATCTCGTATAAAATTTATATTAGATATTGATACAAGAATATTTTAATAAAATTCATCTTATTAAATATCTTAAAAATATTATTTAATTAAATTAATATATCATGTAATTTTTATTTAATTATAAGTTAAAAATCAATCATGATTGATAGAAGAATTCAAAACTGGATAAATATTCAAGGACAGATGTAGTATAAGACAATAAATAACATTTATTCTAGGTTTATTTAGTCTATGAAATTACATAATCTTTTATTTGTATATGCCCGAAAAAATTGATCACTCTTTATCTTTCTTTTTTTTAGAATACATATATAGTCCCAATATATTTTGCTCTCTTCTAAAAACATCGATCATTTACTTTTTAATCTTTAACATTTTTTCAATATCATTCCTACAATTTTTTTAATTCCCAAAAAGATAAAATGGATGGTTTTAATACGACGCGAAGAGTGTTGTTGTTGTTATTGTTGTTGTTATTATTATTATTATTATTATTATTATTATTATTATACTCCCTCCGTCTACAAATTATGGTTACGAGAATAAATATCTCACTTTTTGAAATCATTTTATTTACAAATTGGTATATCGATAAGAAATAAAAATTACATATTAAAAAACTATGTCAAAAGTTTTACAAAACAAGAGGTGATAAGAATATTTTATTTTATCATATAGTTATTGAAATCGCGTAAACAAACAAAAGTTATCGAGATAAGAGGGAAAAAAATTGTAATTAAATTGGGGACGGAGGGAGTGACAATAATGCAAGTATTATTTCGATTGACTACAAAAAGTTTAAACTAGACAAAGACTCTGTGACAGAGAAAGTAAGTACTCCCTCCGTCTCCCATAGATCTTCTCAATAGCCCTTTTTCTTTGTCCACAATAGATCTTCTCATTTCATTTTTTAACAATTAAAATATCATAATTACCCCCACTTACTTTATTTATTACACCTCACCCACCTCATTTAATATACTCTACCCATATTTCATTAAGGGTATTATGGTAAACTTTCACCTTTTTTCAACTCTCCTTAAAAACCACCAAAAGTCAAAATGAGAACATCTTAGGGGGACGGAGGGAGTAATATTTAATCATATGTATTACGGAGTATTATTATATTAACTGTAAATAATATTAGAATAGTAATTGATATTTAATTGTACGTAACATTAAAAATGTAACTTCATTTAATCGTATAACAAGTACTCTCTCCGTCCCACTGTGTTTGTCCACTTACCTTTTAGCACACCATCCAATGCACTTCTTTAATCTATTTTATCTTGTAATTTGTATATTAAAAAATTATACAAATTATATATTAATAATCTATATGTTAAGACGAATCAAACAAGATCACACATGACTATTTTTAGGCTTACACATTAAGAGAATTTGATAAGTCAAAGTGCTTAGATGAACAGTTCCAAAAGTCAAATGTGGACAAACACAATGGGACGGAGGTAGTATTATTTTATCATAGACAATATTATAGAGAAACATTAATTTTTAATATTTTTCTAGATTGATATAATCAAGATAGATCTAATCTCATGATTTGATCTGAGAAAAATAAGTAAACTACAAAAAATATAAGTTGAATAAAACATAGTCTGTGTATAATTTTTAGTTACATAATTTTTATTTTGTAATATCAAAATGCTATTTAAATAAATTAAAATTTAAAAATAAATTCAATCAACTATTAAAATCTAAAGTTGGATTTTAGTTTCAGAATAAAGAGATTATACAATTTTTTTCAAAAAAATAAAAAAGTAAATAGATGGGAGGAATGGGGCTTAAGTGATAAACATTATGGGATGGGGTAAAATGAAGATGGGAATTCATAGGAAGGACAATATTGTCCATCTTTAAAATAAATTAAAAAGTGGAGCGTAGCTAGCAATTTGTGGAGCTCAAATATCAATTCCCACTCTTTAATAAAACAAATACGGAGTACTCCGGAATTAAATACTCCGTCATCAATACGGAGTAAAATGCTCCCTAGGCCAGCTCAAAGAGCGATGGAAACCACGCTTTTTTCAAACACGCATTCAACAGTCAACGGTCCACCCCTCGTATTCCAATATTAACATCTTGAATCTTTCCCTCTTTTCCTTACTTAATTCCCACCAAAAAAGGGCACATTTTCATACTTTCATTTCATACATACGCAGTATTTATATTCCATTTCCCCTCATTCTCTCCTTCCAAAAATTTAATAAAACAAAAGTTAATTAATTCCCTTGCACCTATTGTGAAGACAAAATGACTTTCTTCTTTAGCCTCCGTCGTGCCACCGGCCGTGGCAGCCGGAAAAACAAGATTTCCCGGCCAGATGATTCCCGTGGAGAGCTCACCATCCCCAATTCCTTCGTGTGCCCCATTTCCCTGGAGCTGATGAAGGATCCGGTCACATTGTCCACCGGCATCTCGTACGACCGGGAAAGCATCGAGCGGTGGCTCGATGCCGGGAACGTGACGTGCCCGCTGACCAACCAAGTCTTGGAGTCGCGCGACCTCATACCGAACCACGCCATACGAAAGACGATCCAGGACTGGTGCGTGGAGAACACGTCCCGCGGCGTGGACCGGATCCCCACGCCGCGGATCCCCGTGGGCCCCTCCCAAGTCTCGGACATCTGCTCGAGGATCGAGGGGGCCACGCGCCGCGGGGACCACGCGAGGTGCCTCGAGCTAGTCGGGAGAGTCAGGGCTTGGAGCAGAGAGAGCGAGCGGAACAAGAAATGCATCCGCGGCGACGGCGGCGCCATCGGTGTCGCGTTGGCGGCTTGTTTCGAGCTCTTCGCGGGCGGGGTGTCGGGGGAGGAGCACGTGGAGTTGTTGAGGGATTTGATGTCCTTGTTGTCATGGATGTTCCCACTAGCTGAAGAAGGTAGGACCAAGCTAGGGTCAAAAACGTCATTGCAGTGCATGGCGTGGCTTCTGAAGGGCGGGGAGGAAAACACATTGTCCGTCCTCCAACAACTCATGTGTTTGGAGGACGGCCAATTCCTCCCCGAAGCCCTACTAGAAGCCGATCAAGACGTCCCGAAGACCCTTCTCGACATCGTGAAATTACCAATTCACCCTTCAGGAAAGTCATCAACCACCAAAGCCGCTCTCACCATCATGCACCACATGATGACAAGGGTCAAAAGCGTCAACTCCTTCCTCGCGGAAGCCGGCTTGGTCTCCGTCCTCGTGGAACTCCTCGTGGACGGAGACAAAAGCCTCTGCGAGAAAGGGTTGGCCGTGCTGGACGCCGTTTGTTCAAGCGAGGAAGGAAGGGAGAGGGCTTGCGGTCACCCGTTGACAATCCCATTGTTGGTGAAGAAGACGATGAGGGTTTCGGAGCTGGGAACGGAGCTGTGCGTCTCCGCCATGTTGAAGCTCTGCAAGGGCGGCGGCAGTGGCGGCGAGAGGGCGGCGGCCGTGGAGGCACTGCTAGAGGTGGGGGCATTTCAGAAGCTTTTGGTGGTGTTGCAAGTTGGGTGTGGGGAGAAATCAAAGGAGAAAGCAACTGAGGTGTTGAAGCTGTTGAATGGGCACAAGGAAAGGGTCATTGAATGCTTGGACTCCTCCTCCAACGGCTTCAAGTATTTGAAGAGGTCATTTTGATCGGAAACGCACGCAATAAAGAAACCAATTTTGTTGCTTTAGGTTAGGTGTAATTTGTCCTTGTGTATAATTAACTATTCTCCTCAAGCTTATTACTCCAGGTACAATTCATATTTTTGATAGTACAATACTGTAACTCAAATATTATTAAGGCTTCGTTTAGAAACCATTTTTTCAATTAATGTTAGTATTTTACCCAGTTAGTTTGTGGTATTTACGATGCCCTGTTTATAAAAATAAAAGTTTCTACCTTCACCCTAAACCCTCACCCCTCCCCCCTCCCTACCTAGGAACCATCATTTTTATAAGCGGGACACTGTAGATACCACAAACTAATTGGTGTAAGCAAATGACACCAATAATACTAGTGTCATTTTAGACTTATTACTATTTAGATAATATTTTAATAATGTAATTTAACTTTGAAAACACTACTTTTTTAAATATTGTTACACCTAGAGGTGGCAATCGGATCAACCAAATCGGTTCCGGATTGAACTTTTTCGGTTCGGATATCTTTCGGTTATATGTTATAATCGGTTCGGTTCGGTTCGGATCGGTTAAATTTCGGTTCGGATTTGATTTCGGTTCTATACATTTTTCGGTTCGGTTCGGTTTTGAGTCGGTTCAGATACGGTTCGGTTATGAATCGGTTCGGATAGATTTTGATTCGGATACAATTTGAGTCGGATATATTTCGGTTTCGGGTCTAGTCCGGTTTGGATATATTTCGGTTTCGGATATATTCGATCGAGTGGACTACAAATTATGAAAAAATATATTTTATGATGATATAAATTTAATATCATAATATTAATTTTAAAATTTAGTTTTGATATATTAAAATTTTATCACTTCAAATAATATTATGAGTAATTTACCTAAATAGGGCTAAAACACAATGACTTTCCCAATATAGGACCATATGTTTTTATTTCCCAATGTA